GGTTTAAGCTGTTTAATCTATTAAGCAATATTTACTGAGTCCTTGATTTAACAAAATGTCTTTAATACAGGCGCAGATTACAACAGATTTTCAGAATTAATTAAGAAAGCTTTTGCAACACCTTTAGAAGTATAAAAAATATACCATGTCGGTTCCCAGGTCGATACACAAAATCGTTACTGTTCCAAGAGGAAGAGGAATGTTGACCAACATGAATAAAAGAAAAGGGCTGATTTCGGGAATGTTGCTCGTCAATGTATATGCAATTGACTTTTTCAAATTATCAAAAATCAGGCGGCCTAAAAAACAATCATAAACCATCAAGCAAATCACATGTAGAATTAGGATGCTAAAATCAAGGCAATAACAGCACCACGGGTAGATAGCGAGTGGGCAGTCTGACAAGAACATCTCAGGTAAGATGGATAGAGGATTTACGTTTATTATGAGACTTCGAGTAAAACCTAGCTAAAAACAGTAAAATGATGCGAGATGTGTGTGCACTACAGATACTAAAACTGTGAGTCGTAGACTGTTGAAATAAATACTCCTTAAGCATCTGCTAGCAAGAGGCGTGCCATATTACCGAAAACCAGTTGGGAAGGGGAAGATTATACCTATGGAGTCTAAACTGCAAATTAATACTTCTCTGTTAAAATGAACAAAGACAGAAATACGCATGCATCGACAAGCGTCAATCTAGAATAACTATAAGATTAGATAACTTATAACTAGATCAGTCAAATTCAAACGAAATGGACCAATACTAAATCTCGAAGCGGCCGAGTAATAAAGCAGTGGGTCAACCTAAGAGAAAGACATACAGTATCGCGTAGAAGCATAAGATCACCTTCTTCAACGCCGGTGACTATCGAAGCAAAGTTATCGTCCAGTAATATCATATCAGCAGCTTGCTTGCTGACATCACTTCCTGAAATTCCCATCGCGATTCCTAAAACGAAGATTTGAATAGTGACGTGAACAACATGTGAACACTCAGACTCAGGTGCAATTCCACCTTTACCTATATCAGCTTTTTTCAGAGCAGGTGAATCATTGACCCCGTCGCCGGTGACTGCGACGATGGCGCCAAGCCGCTGACAGCCCTCGACGATGTTCAGCTTCTGCTGGGGTGACGTGCGGGCAAATACGATTTCGGCATGATTCGCTAGAACATCGTCCAACTGGTCTGAATCCATTTCTCGCAGATCAGAGCCATGCACAACGATCGCTCGAACTTGTCTACGACAACCGACACTCGAATCCTCAAACTGTACAAAACTGAACTGAACAAAACTAACCTCGGATCCACCTCGTCTCTCGAAATGCCCAGTCGTAAAGCAATATCGTCCACTGTTTCTGAATCGTCGCTGACAATTCCTACACCTTTGGCGATGGCAAGCGCGGTGATTGGATGATCGCCCGTTACCATGATTACCTAAATTAAGTTCACTTTGTAACGGCGACATACAGTATACTTTTGCAAAAGGTAGTTTTACATGTAGAAGTAAACTCAATCTAAGACCAGAAAAGCACGCATAATGGCATGCATAAGAATCACGTCCCAATTCTCACAGAAAAGAAGTTATAGCTTTGATGATCAGACGAAGTAAGAGATATGAGAACAGTAGTATCGTCCAGTATTTATTTCCGTTAGTGCCATGAGTATGTATATTGGCTGAACTACAACTCCTGGACGTTGTTCGAGCCGACAACTCAGAGGTTGTGCATTCTCGCACTGCAAGTGGTAAGATATCGTGGAGCTTCGTTCGGCTCAAATGGAGTCATAAATCTCTAGAAGACGGAACAGTGCAACTGCGACATATGATCCAAAGTAATGACTGGCATTAGTATCAACCAATTATAGTTTACTGTTAAACCAAAGGTCATTAACCAGATGCGAAAACAAACGCAAAATGATGTCTATGGATCACACCTCGGTTCTCCATTTCTGAAGACGATAAGTAATAGCAGTACAGATCTGATAAAGCAAAAAGAAAGGAGAAAGTTGGCCAATCAAATATCCCGCATATACAGCAGCTCTGACAATGCTATAAAAGTAAGAGAGCGGAAAAAAAGAACTCGTACAGATGACACTCCATTAGATAAACCGCCAAATTCAAACTTAATAGCAGTAATTAGAATTTCATTCCTTTTATTTCTCGCATATCTAAAGAAACCCGTCATTACCGACAAGGATGGATTGAAGGCCCCCCTGACTCCAAATAATAGCTGTGAATCAACAAAAAGAACTTCTAAAGTCAACCAATCTCTCTGGTTGGAAAAAAGCTCTGAGAGACACGTAAAAAGGTACGTCGGTATCGGTCAGTCTTGCGGTTGACCAAATTGATGACATTATACAGAAATGAACAGTTTTATGTTATTCTTAGTCCGACTACCAATCCCGAACCAAATAGTCAACCAGAATTAGAGTGAACGTAATAGATGTGTTTAGAACACCCACTTTGCACCAACAATTTATGCGAACTTTGATTATCGTTATCATATTTTGCCAGAAATGTTGTAGAATTAAATATACAAATATCATAAGCTGTTCGTACGCTACAGTAGGTCAAAAAACCAATGACCTCAAAGACCAAAATTCACGGCGTACTGCATCGCCTCCGCGCTCTTACGTGTCTAGGGATCCATTTCAGCAAGTCACAGCTCCGTGATATTTGAGCATTCGCAGTGACAGATATATATATATATATATATATCAT